GAATTTGTGTTACCTTCGAATCTAGCTCTATTATTTTTCTGTGTAACAGAACTAGAGCCTTCACTTTTCGAAAACTGTGGGGAAGACTGCACTCTGCTCACTAGCCGACCGGTATTATATAGTTCTTTGTTCTGCGATGCTTGCAATTCGGCTTGTTTGGCAATTAATATACACTCTTTTAAATCCAGTTGGTCTTTCAATTGTAAGCGCTCGGACGTTCTAGTATCAAGCATACCCACGACTATCCTATCTCGTATAAGTTGTTCTTTAAGAGTTCCATAATTGCAATGTTCGGCAAGAGAATGCAAGCTTGTGATGAAAGACTCAATAGCTTCTCCTGGCTTTTGAACTGTAGAGTTGAATTTGAACCTTTCAAATATAATATTTCTACGAGGAATGAAATAGTTTTCAAAACTGTCTAGTGCCTCAGCATATAATCTTGGCTGTCTTGGAAATTGTAACATTATTTCCTCAGACTCTTCGCCCATAATATAGACTAAAATATTAATTTTTTCCTCTTCGGATTTGCCCAATTGGCCCGAGACTGACATATACCTTTCGAATCTTTTTCTCCATGACGTCCATGCCCCAGGAGTTGAAAATGAGAATTTGTCGGGAGGGCTTACACTTACTGGTGTCGTGACATTAACCACTTGGCGCAGTATATGCTCCTCATTTGCTTGATCTTGAGGTGCTAACGGCATGATTTGTTGTTGTCTGACGCGACCGTCAAAATTACGATTCTTACGTCAAAACAATGTTTTTTTATTAATTTTTTTCGCGATCACTGCTTTTTCACGCCACAGATCCCACTTCTGACACCATGTTTGATTATCAGGATATTACCAATAAAAGACATGGATGAAATATTGTATATTCGTATCGAAAGTTGCGAATTGATCACTTCACGAAGCACCCCTGCGGTCGCGCTCGGCTGACGTTTTCGAACTGACTTTTGTCACCCGCACCTCCAGGGTTACCACGTTTAGCTCTCAAATATGTTATCTAAAGTGAATACATTCTTAAATTTAATATGAATAGCTAACAACAATATACCTAACAGAACAGTAATGACATTTGATGAGTGATGACAAAATATTTTTCAAATTTCAGGGTTATGAAACAGAAAGCCGAGTTGCCAGAATGTGTAAAATATCTGAGTAAATTCAAATAGTAAAATTATTCAATTTATTAATTGACGTGTCTCGCAGAAATAGAAAAAGATAGCTTAATTGTAATAAATACAAGTTAGAAAGTAATAAAAAATGACATGCGCGCGCAACTCGTGGCTGCAGTGTAGCCAGATTGTATTATTGCAGAACAAATGCAGACAATACAAATCGAACATTATAAGATTAAAGAAGTGATATATTGTCAAGTGTTTTACAACGCCTTAAATCAGACAAAAGAAGAGCTTTAAAGTGTATAATAAATCGATGGCACTTTTATTTTGATAAATGTTTCATCCGGCAACATCGCACAATGAAATTGCAAAGGAATATGTCAAGTATAATCTAACATAACCTTAAACGACACTGGGATAAGTTCAAGTAATACGTAAAGTATTAGTTTGCTCTTTGTCGAATTACACGTTATAAAGGAAGAAGGAACGAATAATTCTGACCTCGTCCCTGAATACGATTATCCGTGCGTTCGTTATTTTGGTCTGAGTTCTCCGAGCTTGACTTTACCGTTCGTTTATTTGAAAAGTGTACTCGGTGCAGCCTCATTCGCGTTCGTTTATTAAGATTTCTGGCACTTTTATACAGCGTTCAACTGCTCTGTTCGCTCGCTGGTCACGTGATTACGGCTCCGCTCAGCACGCTCTGCTCTTTGAGCAAAATACCGAACGCAAGGTATGACGCAAGCGCGTAACAAAGTCGATTTTCATTGGACGCTCACGTGTAACCCACGAGTTGCGCGCGCACACCAGGTATTACGAGACACGTCAATTAAACGTAACCATAACAGTAAGCTCAATAGCATAAATCTGATATTTTCGTTTGAATGTTTATATTGGAGGTATTTCCGCAAAAATGTAATTTTGGCAGCAAGAACATGTTTCTGCTCACATAAAATTTTGCGTCCATTTAGTGCTTTAAATTTATATCCCATAGATTTTAAAATTTTATATAAATTTGTTTGCCCTCCCTTAAATTCCAAATTTTCTTTTGCATAGGTATGTCAGTAATGTTTGTAATGTAAAATATTCATTTTTAGAATTGTATTTCCAAATTTGTCGTTGTAAATCTTCTTTAAACTTTCGGTGCATAATAGTCTCTGTCTTTTTCAGTCGGCCTAAAGGTTTTTTGATTGTATATTGTCCAGTCAAAATTCTTTGAATAGTCCTAGTTCCCACCTAAAATTTAAGGAAAATGTTGGTTGAGTAAGAAATGGCTTCACATCTACATTTACCTACCTCAAATATATCTGCAAGTTGGGCTTCAATTATTCCCTGGAGAGTCTCTGGTTTTTTTTTTTTTATATAACCATGACATTTTAATATTTCCCTTTTTTTTTTTCTTCTGAGATTATTTTCGGCATCTTCAATACGAGAGAAATTTGACAATGCCGAGTTTTAAAAAATGTCATTAGATTTTGCAGGTACGCAAAATAGTTAGGTACCGTTTATAATATAGCATTATTGAAAAATGCATTGAAAAATGTGTCAAATTTGATTTGCCGAATAGGCCAGAAAATTTTAATACCGCGGCACTTACGAAATTATGTAAACCACACTTAAAACTGTCTGGAATTTGACATATACTGCCATTATTATACGAGGGTCAACCTGCCAAATTTCCATGGATATTGCTACGCCAATAATAAGTAAAAGCATATAAGATAGGTACTTATATGCTATCGTCGAAAATTGATCAATTTTTAACCCTGGGTCCTGTAACTTAAACATTTGCGGATTTCTATTATATTTCCTGACCATTTAACCCAAGTTTCGATTTCACAGTGGCGCAAGTTTATTTTATTGAATTTATTCTTTAAGCAGAAGCTGACCATATTTTATCAATACAATTTTCAAGCATTTTTTTTTAAATTAGTTTTCTGGGAACTTAAATCTTTATATTTTCATTTCATGATAATGATATAGCCAGCGACTGTTAATGAATCTATATGGCAAAAATATAGGGCATTCCAATTAAAAAAAATCAGTCGGGGCACACAATTCAATTGTGTCATACAAGTGTCACACAATCGAACACGCGTCATTTAAATATATATTTTTTAATAATAATAGTTGCACAGTTGCTCTAAAGTATTTATACTTGGTAATAAGTACTAATATACATATATCTCGAACAAACTACAGTATTTTTTTACTCATGCCAGTTAAATTTTCACGTTTGATTGCATTTATCCAGCTTTGTCTTCTAATTTGTTTAACTTTATCAGAATGCTTTCGATTCAGTTCCGATGATATTTCATAATATTTAACATTGTCGTGTTATCCCCTACTACTTCATTTCACCACATTTCTCTATACAACAAAATGCAGGCTTTTTACCAATATTTTTGCGCACTTTAACATTTGCCTGCCCTGGCTAACTTTTGACAAACGCCATTTTTGACAGTTCGTTGGAATGCCCTATTGAGGTAAATTGTAATATTAGTATATTTTTTTGAATTTGATGAAACTGATTGAGAGTTAACCTCTATTTATTGATTATATTTAAAGTGTTTTACCAGCAATTGATTTTATACTTTGAAATTATTCAAAACTTGATTTTTGACCCTACTGTGAAAATACATATACACTAATTCAATTTGAAACTTTCTTTATTGTTTTATTGGTTTACCTATGTCAAGATTTGGTTGAGTTATATGCCTTATTTATTTCCTTTTCAGAATTATCAATTACCGTTTGCTGATTATTTTATTTAGGTGGCTTTCTGAATTTTCACACTTCAAGATTTTATGTAATTTAATTATTGTTATTATTATTTTTTTAATTCAGTGGCGCCCTTGCCATTCTGTACTAATTAAACTATTGACCCACCCTTCGACCCACCCCTAATAATTATTCGCAGAGCAAGCTGAGCATATTATGGGCCCCTTCTTAATTTGTTAACAAAAGGGGTTACAAGACTTAAGGGAATCCTTGCTGAATGAAGTTACCTAATCAATCAATCAAGGTTAAATGTTGAAATAGTTTATAGTTATAGGTACTTAGCTTAAATATACTGGTGTAAAAATAAACACACATTAGGAAACCAAGGAAATAAGCAAATCTAATCATCTGAACTAAGTAGCAAATTGAGGGGATTTGAATTGGCAACATCATAAGAAGGGAGTTATATTGAATCACTCTAGTTTACTTAACTACTTATAAAAAATGCTATTTTTCTTTGGTTCGTAGAAACACAATGAGGTAACGTGTCTTCAGAAGAAAAAAAAAACAATCAAAAATGGCTATGATTTTGCGTCTTACCGATATTTTTCTTTAATTTTGTAAAGTCAAGCAAAAATCTTCTGGCAAATAAACAATAATGTCAAAAATTTGTCATTTGTGAAACGGACGCGATATACGCTTTCGTAATCAAAGCACTCTTTGATTTAGTTTGTTTTTGAAGGCACGTTATCTCTCCTTCCGGGCAAAGGAAAACAATGCTTTTTCTTACATTGCATTTATCTTTGATAAAAGTAGCTGCAATAGAGTTACTTCTTTTGTTCTCAAGCTTTTGATGTAGCAACTAAATACATACTCCTAATTTCGATTGTAATCCTTAATTTAGTAAATCTTTTCAAAACACAGTTTTCTCAATAGAAATATGCATTTGTTCATTCACAAGTAATATATAATTCAAATCTCTTATTAGTTTTTTTTTACAATAGGGTAATTAAAATTACATCTACGAGAATTAATAAATCTGTTTTTGTATTCTTCATTTTTTGCTTAATAAATATTATTATTATCTTCTCGATTCTCATATCTCTGAATCAGATTTTTCAAAAACACATATCAAAATTTTAAAGTGTATTCTTACCTGTATATTCGAAACAATTTTGCACATAGCCGTTCCAAACCACCAAGTACTAGTGACGTCCCAAACAACACTGAAAGGTAAGCAAAATAGAATCACTAGGGCATCGGCAACTGCTAGATTCACTATAAAATAATTCGTCACTGTTCGCATACTGTGATTTCTATAAACGGCTACGCACACTAAAATGTTCCCTAAAAGACCAAGCACAAACACCATGATGTGGAAACATAATAGCACTATGCTCCAGATTTTGAGTGTTACGTATCTGTCATAAAGTACGGTTTCTTCGGCTGTTAGGTTCCGATTTTCCGAGAAGTACTGACCCATTTCTCCAGAAATGCGTGTTAGTTGACTAGAAATAATTTAGGATACTCTTTGCCAATCGTGGTTTCCATGTAGTCCATGATTTTGAGTTATATTGAAGGCATATTGCAGGTTTCTTGGTTCCATAGAATAAACATCTGAAAAAAAAAAAAAGAAAATGCACTAAGACTCATTGAAAGGTACTTCCTACTAAAATTTTTATAAGGGTGAAATAAGGTTTAGCCACAGGACTATGCACCAATCCAAGCATATCCAATACAATAAACTGTCATCCACTTTCCAAATCAAAATCAAGTTCACTAGGAATTATTATTATAGTTTTGAGATGAAAAATAATGTTAAGCTCCTATTTTTGAGACTGATATTTATATTGTTCTAAATTATTGTCTTTATACGCCGCCTTATTAAAATTTGAATAAATCTATTATTTTAAAAGATGCACGTTATACCTTTTCAAATTGCGTATGCTCGTACGTATTAGTAAAGTGATTCATTGTGTTGTTATAAATCTCTCAAGCAAATTGTGCACTTTCCATCTTGTAACACTGCCTAGAGACTAAAAAATTAACGAATTCGATACAAACGAAAATGAATTATCTTAGACAATTCTAGAAGCAACGACGCGCTATAAAACGAAGTCGGCCACCGACGGGAAAGTCAGTCATAAATTAGGTGCCAGTATATCGAGAATCAGTAATCAGTTAATGGTGCATAGAACGCAAATAATTTAATAATTAGTGAAACGCGAATTGATAGTAAGACAGTGAGTTGTGATTTAGTTTTGAGACTAGTTGATTTCAGTTAAAGGAAGTTTTGTAGTAGTGCAAGTTTCACGGTGATTGTTGCGTAATTATCTTGAATAAAGCTGAATAAATTCTGGAAACGTTATGTATTTGCTTACGTAATACTATTAAATTGTTTTTCTTATGTTTATAGAGATAATATCCTCACTATACGATCATTTTCAGAAACTTATTGGATAAACAACAAAATAAATAAAGATAAATTTCGAAAATTACTCAACTACGAATTCCCGAAGGCCTATAATGGCATTCTATTAGTGATTAATGATGTTCCCTGATGAATTATCGACTTAATTGGCTGAAGGTCAATGGACCACTACTGCGAACATTATGATAATTAACGTGTGTTTGACATTAAAATGAGGTAGCATCCGGATGTTTTGAACATTGTCAGGACATTTTCGGATATCGATTTTTTACCAAAAATAATATTATTGGACACATCAATTCCGGATCCTAAAGTAGGATTTTCTCGTCTTTCAGGCCTAAGATTGTTTCTATCCTGCCGTTCATTTATTCCTAATTAAGAAGGTGAAGAAATCGGAAAAAGCTTAATTTGATTTATTACTGTAGATAAAAAACACAAATCCCTAGAGCGGAAAACGATAGGTAATTTTATCTTTCATGGCCTTTTAGTATATTAAAAGCAATGAAAGGCTTTTTTATCTTTCACTGAAGGTATCCTCATGATTTTAATTATTATTGGACGCCTATTAATACATTCGTTATCTATAGTCCCCGTCACTAGGTCATTAAATTATTCCGTTTCAGTGTCACCTATATGTTTCAGGAGTATCTTCTTCTTGGAAAGATTCTTGAGTTGAGTGATGCGACGATGACCCCAAACAAAATATTCTCACACTATTCGTTATAAACCAATTTAATAACGCGTTGCCTCCTGCCATCTGGTGCCTTGTTATAAAGATGTCGAAAAACTTATTCAACCGTATTTTCCATTTCAGTAGTGAATTTAATAATTTCTCACACTTTCCGGAATATTATTACTAATAAGTTGAATATTTCATAAATTTGATCATGAAGAGTTTATAATAGTTGGGGAGCTGGCGTCGAACACATGCAAGAGTTTTCTGAAGGCTGATGATATTTTCAAAATAGGTCGTACTTCAGTGATGGAAAGCTAGTGTAGAGTCAGCACTCACAGTTGGAATTTTAAGGAGCATCTTTAAACTGTTTTCTAAATGCTGAAAATTTATAGAAAACGAGCAAATATAATATAAAACAAGAATCTAATAGTCAGACAGCGAAATATGGGGACACAGAGCGTCAGCGCTACTCCATACGCATTTTATGGCATTTTCTTCGGTGTCCCTTCAAATATATTTATCAAATACCTGCAAATATATATTTTGAAAGGACACCGAAGAAAATGCCCTTGGAGGGCTTCTGGCAGCCTTTTTGCAGCGGCCTAGATGTCTGACGATTTACCTACGTTATCTGTGGCCTTCAAACAGGTAATGTGCAAAATTTCAGCCGGAGCGTAGAAGAACGTTTCTTTTCTAGTGTGTTCATAAAGGATATTTTCTTTGTTAGCCTATAGAGGTAAAAACTAAGTATGCTAATTATGATGGGGTGATCTTGTTAATGTTTATATAGAGAGGGAGTGGTTTTTCTTATGAGTACGAGGCGTCAGTCTTGCGTTAGCGTTCTAGACATTGGGTCGAATTTATATTCAAATATATCTTTGCTAATTATTGTTGTTGAGTGAATATATCATTTTTTCTTTAACTCAATTATACGTTGTGTATATTTAATCGTTACAGTGCAGCGGCGGAATATATCTGCACCTCCGGAATAGACTTGTGTTTTGTAACTTTTTGAAGTTGTGGTTCAGTGTTTATTTGTGCCAGCTTGTTGGAGTTTGAGTCCGTCATACTTTAGAAAATGTAACAAAACGGCCCTAGAAATCCTTTTTTTTGGTTCGTAATACAATTAATTGTTTTTTTCCCAGCGAGATTAGGTCGCTAAATTTCTGACGAAACCGTATCAAGAGCCAAGGGTTATCATTCGGATCCCGAAACAGTGTCCTGATTGTGTCTCAAAATACGACTCTCGACTCCTGGTTCCATGAACAAACAGCATGTTTTGCGACCGATAAGAATCCCAAAAGCGTCATCAAGCTGCCAATATAAATAAGCCTGTGAATCTCCTAGATTCATTCAGTTCTGTAACGAAGTTCTGGTATTTAGTGTTGACGTCTTTATGCTGACTCTCTTTCCGAGACCTTGGGTAATGTTTCAATTTCAAGTATTTTAATTCATCCGTCATGATTGTTGTTTTCTGTCTATTATTTATTTTCGCTCCTGTGTAAAAAACAAAACCATTGGGTTAGCTTCACAACTCAAATCTCTTTTCCAATATGTATCTTACCCTGAATAACAAGGCCGTTTTGTCATTTCCTTATCGAGGACGCCCGTGACTTTTACCTACTAAGAATTATAACCTAGTCCTTATTTTCTGTATCTTTCAACCTTTAATTTCTCATGTAACTTGTACCATCAAGGAACGTCCTATACAGGACGCTCATTGATTTCACTCCCTATCATTCCAAATCTCCATATGTATTTTGTTTCATTTCATTTTTAGTAAACATTGTTGATAACCTACTGTATATTTTTTGCTTTTCTTTCATTTCCTTACCAAGACTCACCATTTATTCAATAAACCATTGTTAGAGTTTAGTAAGAAAAACTGATTCTTTTATATCCTTTGGAAAGCCCCGAGCTAGCATGCCAACTAACTGCGTACAGCTCAGGTAGCAAGAACCCGCACTGGAAAAGCCAATCTAATCAGATTACTAAAAAATATCCGTTCAAAGTTACCTAGATTTTCAGTGGGACTTTAAACAAATTCCCGGGTGGCACGCTACCGCACTACAAAAAGGCCTTTACCAGTGCTAAAACAAAGTCTCCCTCACCCAACCGTCGCAACCAGGTGGCGGTGGTAACAAAAATTGGGAAGAATAAAAGGCGTAGAAACAGTTCAAGCTATTTAACCAGCTGGTCAACAAGTAGTGACTGTGCTGGACGCTATAAAAGAACAACTAGATAGTTCAAGAAAACCGATAAAACTCGAGGTAGTAGCTATTTGACAAAAAACGACAAAAATAACGAAAGAAATATTCAGGAAGGTCTTTCAGTGAATGCTCTTCAAGCACCTGGGTTGAGAAGTTTAACTTCTCCTTGTGTTGTTATGGAACGTCCCCAGTCTAAGCAAGTGCAACAACAAGCAGTTATAGAAGAAATAATTGATCAGGCTACAGATGCAAACGTTACATCACCACAAAGTAGTAGTTCAATTACCATGCCTGAAAGTAATTAGCAGAGAAGAATTCGACAAATGGTAGATTTGGTCAACCATTTATTAGAAAGGGACGGAAATCACAGTCAAAATAAGGTAACAATTAATTCAAAATGCCATATACCAGAATGCAATCCAAATGATGAGAAAATAAGCTGTAGCGAACGGTTACATAGGATAGACCAACTTGGACAAATGTAAAGAATTTTCATATGCAAACACGCCTACAAGACTTAGCTAGAGATTGGTATTAAGGACTCGATAACTAGTGGAGTGGAAGCGCATGCTTATTTTAGCATTTCCTGCCCATCAAGACTCCTACTGCGCTAAAGAATATGATAGAGCGTAAAAAGATGACCGAAGAATCGTGGAAAGAATATTATTTTAGTGAAATGCAGCTTTTTCGCCAGTGCGAAATAAGTGGAAAAAATGCAGTGGCGATGATTATAGATGGTATCTCCAATACTACAATACAATCTGGAGCAAAAGTGGGCAGGTATCTTACACCAGAGGACCTATTTCGTGAGTACCTCTCTTCTTTATCTTAGGTGACAGTATCAGTCAAGAAAATAATAGAATTACCCAAAAATCAAGAGAGCCGTTACGAACACGCGCAGAAGTCTGAGGTAAATCAAAAACTCAAACATAAAAAGTGTTTCAATTGCAAAGACCATGGACATATGTTTAGGGACTGTCTCAAGCCAAGGAATACTCAATTTGCCAACAGGTAGGAAATTTATCCTCAAATTGTTACAAGAACAGGCCAAGCGC